TGTGTAGGTCCACAATCTTGTCCCTGACATCCTTGGAAAGCTCTTTGGTCTTGGCCATGGTGAAGAGTTTGGAATCTGGATTGATTGATTGCTTCTGTGGACAGGTCTCTTTTATACAGGTAACGAGCTGAGAGGGCTCCCAATGTCAGCTCCTTACCTGTATAAAATACACCTGGGAGCCAGAGATCTTGCTGACTGATAGGGGATCAAATATTTATTTCATTCATGAAAATGCAAATTAATGTATAACTTTTTTTGTAATGCATTTTTCTGGATTTTTTTGTCATTGTTGTGTTTCTCACTGTTCACATAAACCTACCATTGACATTGTAGACTGATCATTTCTTTGTTAGTGGGCAAACTTACAAAACCAGCTGGGGTTCAAATAATTTTTTCCCTGACTGTATATGGACATATAAGTATTAATGAACAGATATAAAAATTACAAATGTAACGAAATGGTTTAAGTTTACATCCTGCCTTAAATCTTACTCTTTAAGCCTCCCTCCTCTGTGTAATCCCTGTATTCATCAGCAGGCGGATTGACAAGCTTTTACTCACTTTTGATGTCACTGCTCAGATTCCCTGCCATTTTTACTGTAGGTTAAAATATTATGCTGCTAGTTATACATTTAATACATGTAATATCAAGATTTCCTTACTCTGTTTATCACATTGCACAGGACATTGCACAACTGTACACAATCACTTACAATTATCATTTTTATTTGAGTTACATCATTAAAGACAGAGTTTTAATGATCAATTACTGTCTCATTGCCATGCTAAATGTGCTTTTTGGGCAAGCTGTTTGAAGGAGCTTGTTCAGGGCATGATGGATGCTGGTGAGAAAGATGCTGTTTCTTTCCTCAGTGAAGTGCACTCCATCTGGCAGGAATATTTCCTTTTTGAAAAAGGAAGGGGGTGTTCAATAACTTCACCACTTTTGGCTGACGCCGTCGTGTCCACCTCCCTCATCTTCTTTCTGAACATGCCGTCTGAGGTTGTGGTGTCACTCTGCAACCTTCAAAGGTTCAAAGATTTTTTTATTGTCAATTCACTATATGTGCAGGACATACAGAAAATTGAAATACAGTTTCTTACTCTCCTAGTATTGGGTGAGCCCTCCAGTTTGTGGGACTTGGACCACAGCAGCTGGATTCTTTTTAAAAGTGCATATTAGCGCTTTGTCTTTCTCCTCTGCATTTGTGTCTTTTCCTTTCTGGGAAAGAAAACTCTGGAAGTTTCTCATTGTCTTTTGCCACTTCACTATAAGGCCTTTTCAGTGGAGGTC